CCCTGCGCCGACCCCGAGTCCACAGAATGCCTGGCTTCTGTTTCATACTTTTCCGGTTTTTCTTTGTCTCTAACAAACATGTACTTTGCAGGTCGGATAAAGGCCTTATCAAAACGATACTGAAAAGCTTACCCAGATCCGTTCTCCCCTTGAAGCCCCCAGACTCCCCTCCATTAGGGAAGCCCTCACTCTTCCTCGTTCCTGCTGCTGTATCCCTGGCCCCAGAGTGGTGGGTGGCACAGGCGGCCATCTGCCTTCCTGCCCTGCCCGAGTCCCAAGGAAGCCCACATGTGGCTGCTACCTGGGCACACACCCCCAATGGCTTCCTTTGGCAGTGACGAATGAGCTCTGGGGCGTTGGGCCAGGTAGATGTGATGGTTAAGGCTGTGTGTCAACTTGGCTGGGCCATGATTCTCAGTGGTTTGATAGTCATATTATGATGTGATCACCTCCACGATGAGATTTGATATGATGTGATCACCTCCATGATGGAATCCGCTGTGAGCAGCCAGTCAGCTGAAAGGGAGCTTCCTTGGGCACGCGGCCTGCATCGAGTATTAGTGGATGTTCCCGCAGGGCTCAGGGGCTTTTGCTCCCTCTGGATCCTGCAGCTGGCTCCTGTTCGTCTGACCTCTGGTTCTCGGGACCTGAGCTGGCCGCTTACCTGCTGTCTTGTCTGCTGATCTTGGGATTTGTCAATTTTTGCAGCCTGTGAGCAAGAGCCCTGCTCTCTGACCTGCTGATCTTGGGTTCCCCAGCCTCTGCGGCTACATGAATCAGGAGATGCCTCTATCCTGACCCATGGACCTGGGACATTCCAGCCTCTACAACTGTGTTAGCCATTTCTTTGATATAAATCTCTATTTATACATATTTATACGGTTTACTGGTTTTGCTTCTCAAGGAACCCAGCCCAGGACAGTAGACGCAGGCTCGAGTCCAGGGCGTGCCTCCCTGTGCCACTACAGATTGTGCCCCTGACGGGCCCACAGACCACCTGCCGGAAGACAGACCGTCTGCCCACGTCTGCCCCGACCTCATGGTGTGATCCTGGAAAACGTGCTGTCTGCCCACGTCTGCCCCAACCTCACTGTGTGGTCCTGGAAAATGGACCATCTGCCCGCATCTGCCCCAACCTCGCTGTGTGGTCCTGGAAAACAGAACGTCTGCCATGTCTGCTTGGACCTTGCTGTGTGGTCCTGGAAAACGGATTGTCTGTCCACATCTGCCCCGACCTCGCTGTGTGGTCCTAAGCCAGTGGCTCCTCTCTCTGGGCCACAGGGGGGTCTGTAAATCTCCCCCCAACCCCGCCCCACACCTGAGCCCTCCCGATGTGCAGGGCATCACAGCGGGTGGTCAGGGGCCGGGCACTCACCGAAGACCGAGGATCCGGAGACCGAACAGGCCAGGAGCTGTGGAAAGAAGCAGGGAGTGGGGGCAGTGAGCGGCTGGCAGCTTGAGGCACACACACATGCCCCACACCAGCTGCCATCGAGTCAGTTCCAGCTCATGGTGATCCCATGTATTAAACAGCAGAACTGCTTCATAGAGTTTTCTTGCTACATTCTTTATGGAAGCAGGTCACCAGGACTTTCTTCCTCAGCACCACTCACTGGGTTCGAACTTCCAACCTTTGGGTTAGTAGCTGACCACATTAACCTTTTGTGCCACCCAAGGAGGTGGGCAAACACGAAACACCTCCTGCCTCCTACTATCACGAGCTCTGGAGCCTGGCCCACCGGCTCGGCCTGGCCTCCAGGTGTGTGCCCACTGGGCCGTGTCCAGCCTGCCCTCGCTTGGACCCGTGCTCCACCTCAAGTTCCACTTCATGAACACTTGGTAAAAGAGGGGTGTGCCGCGAAGAACTTATTCTTGCCCAGAAAGAGGTCGGGCCCGGGTCGCCGGCTGCTGCAGGACAATCAGATACCCTGCCTGGTGGGAGGGCCTGTCCGCCCGGGGTCTCGGATCACACTGGATGGTCCAGCAGCGTGATGCAGGGTAGGGGCTTTCGGTCACACGGCATCAGATTGACCGTGAAGGCAATCAATCCATCAGTCATCCTAGATGATGCAGCTCCGGTAAGAAGTCTGAACGCTGAGCCTAGAGGCGCTTCCCTGCTGGTGGACTCTGAGTGTTGTCCTCCTGGGTGTCAGGAGGGTGACGCACCCTGATTCGCAGGGAGAGGACACCAAAAGCTCTGCATTTGGACCCCTCCCAGACAGCGCCCTTGGTGCGCCTTCCCTGGGCAGGCTTTAACCTGTGTCCTTCCCCTGGGATACACCGTAACCAAGAGCCTCCGAGGGTGGCTTTAACGCCCCAGGGATTTGCAGTTGGTGTCAGACTGTGTTCCCTCTGACCTGGTAGTTGGCCGGGACTCCCAGCAGGGGGTCTTTTAACATGTGAACCAGAGTGTCCTGCCTGCTCAAAGCCCCACAGCCCCTGAAGGAGAGCCACACAGCAACCAGGCCCCTCCCTGCAACTCCCACCCCCCCTTCTCCACTCACGCCAACGTCTGTCCCTCCTGCCTCAGGACCTTCACACCTGCTGTGCCCGCTGCCTGGACACCCTGCCTCCATCTGCATGTGGCCAGTCGCTTCTCATGCGTCAGGTTTCAGCCTGAGCGCCCTAGCCATCCAGTCTACCTCCTCTAAGTTTACTTGTGGGGGGCCTGACTCCCCAAGTGCCCCGGTGTCTGTCTCGGCCTTGGCTGTGGCTGATGCACACGGCACTCGGCAAGTATGTGCTAAGTAAACAAGCCCACAGACACCACCATCGACACACTAGGTCCCAGGCTGGAGGCTCGCAGGGTCTCAGACACAGCTGAGCACGGCCCCTGTCCCCCAGGAGCTGCAGCCTTGTGGGCAGAGAAGGTACCACCCACATTGTCATCCTACACAGCAGAGAGGACGGAGCCCTGAAGAAAGCTTCCAGTGGAGGCCTCCTTGGAGAACCTTCCTGTGGTGGGGCGTGGGGGGATGGGGGTGGGTGCTGCTGAAACAGGAGTCAGGGCTGCAGAGAGGGGCATGCAGGGCACAGGGCCCCACAGGGGAAGGCCTGGAGGTAGACCTGGGGGAGGCCAGAAAGGCCAGGACTGGGCATGGTGGGCTGGAGTCAGACTGCCCCGGCTCCCTTGGTCCACACAGCCTTCTCCCACCTCTGAACTCCTCATGCTCAGGCAGGCTGTCCCACAAAACCCAATCTTGACCTTGTCCAGGGCCCACTCTGTCCTGCTGCCCTAGCCAGCCTGCAAGTCTCCAAAGAACGCAGCCTGCATCACCTACTTTCTGCTGGGCCCGGAGGCAGGCCTGAGAAATGCTGCCAAATGCCCAATCCCTGACTCCTCTGTGAGCTGCCCCTCCCAGCCTCCGTTTCCCCACCTAAAAAGTTAGAGCTTCGGACAAGCTCACAGCAAAACACATGTCCTTTAGCTCTGGAAGGATTTTATTACACTTCTATATTAGATACAGGATCCCTGTGTGATACAAATACTTAAGCGCTGGACTGCTAACCAAAAGGTTGGTGGTTCAAATCCACCCAGAGGTGCCTCGGAAAAAAGGCCTGGTGATCTGCTTCCGAAAGATCACAGTCTTGAAAACCCTATGGAGCACAGTTCTACTCTGCACACGTGGGGTCGTCACAAGTCGGGATCAACTGAATAGCAACTCACAGCCGGCAGGGGTCCCCGGAGAATTCAGGGGGTCTTAGAACTCGCATGGCCTCTTCGCTGCCACCGATCTCTTACTGAAAACCAGCCTTTCATCCAATTCTGAGTGCAGACGACAAACCACGCCAGCACTGGCGGGACCCCGCGGCTTCCTCACCCACAGAAATCCCAGGAATTCCCTAAGCACAGGACAGGGGCTGCGGACCTCTCCTGGGCCAAAGCACCACCCGCCCTAGGTCTCTGCGCTCCGGGCATGAACTAAGAAGCGCTCGGACACCACGGCTCCGACCAGGCTGGGGCACACTCTGATAACGGTCTCGTTCTCTGCAAGCCCAGGGGCTGTACGCTGGGGTTACATCCTATTATCTGGGGAGGGGTCGCTGGCCCAGCACGGTCGAGGCACCCTCTCTGCGAGTGCCCGTCACTGCCCGGGGCTGGCGAGGGGGCAGGAGAGCCCGCGGGGACCCGGGGTCCCGTCCCT